GGAAGGAAAACCATATTGACCATCTACTGTAAACTGGGCGCTTTGACAGTAGAACATTTAATTATTTTAATAACCCTGCAAGGTATATATATTTTTTCTATTTTACAGATGAGAAAACTGAAATTCAGAATTATTATTATTTTTTGGCTAACATCCCACAGTTATTAAAAGAGGTCAGTGGCCTCCACACTAGTCCTTCCAGGCTGAACAGCCTCATCCTGCACTTCCCTGGGGTGACCTGGTCCCAGGACAGGTTTGTGAGAGCTTACCACTGAGCTGGAGCCTGGGCAGCAAACAGCTGGCAGAACAGAAGTTTCCAGAGTACAGTCAGTCCACGGCTCAGATCCAACCCTGTGCTTCCTTCTCCTCTGGCTGGCTTCCCCTTTATCCACTTAGCTCTCCAACACAGTCAGCAGGGCTGAACTGGGCTCTAAACTCTCAGGTCTCTCCTTAAAATTTCTGAGGCTATTTGTCCCACAGACAGCTGGGTGACCTCTGGCTGGCCCCTTCTCTTCTCAGGACCCCAGATTCCTTAAATGTAAACAAGATTTGTGGTTTCTGGGGCCCAGACACTCTTGTGACACAGTAGAGCCCTCTCTCCAGAAAGCAGAAAGCCAATCAGACCACTTGGTTTCAAGAATCCTTCACTTCTGGCACTCCTTAACACACACTTGGGGCCATGAAGACCCTTTCCAACCACTCCAGGCCTCTGGTCCCCACCACAGAAGAGAGGTGAAGGCTCCTGGGCCCATCTCTTCCTACAGGTTCCACAGGCTACTCCCAGAAGTAGGGGCTGACCTGTGGAGGCAGCAAGACAGAGAAGGTATAGTCACCATCAGCTTACAGAGTGGGAGCACTACAGGACTCCTGAGCCTGACCAAGCCCACTTCCTGGCCCCTGACCCGCTCCTGGAGACCATGAGCCTGGCTCAGCAGTTCCAGTACTCCAAAGCTCCATTAAGGGAAGAGCTTATTCACAGGCAGATGGTGTTGGGTCTGACCCAATTTCCTGGCCCATCCTGTCCTGCCCCTGTGGCTCCAAGAAGCCCTGGTCTGCCCCTGGTTTCCACCCACCACCAGGGGGCTCTTCCCAATCTGTAGCTCTAGCCTCGGAAGGTGAGATGCCCTGACAAGGACCCGAGGGCACCTAACCCTAAGGTGAAAGGTCTTGGGCCTCCTGCCCACCTAAAGCCAGGATGCACAGCAGTGAATGCTTTATTTAGTAAAGGAGGAAACAGGTCCAGAACAGCCTCTAGAGTAGGGTGCAGGGCCATCTCAGGGAATCCCTTAGGTCCTCACCTTACAGTCCTTTGGTACATATACTGCACTGGAAAAGACTTCTCCCAGGTCCCTGTGAGAACAGGACACTCCCCACCAGAACCCAAGTACTCTGGCAGAGCAGTTCTAGGGTGTGGGATTGACCATGAATTTGTGTGTAAATGTGAGGGGGGGGTTCATCTTGTCAGTGCTGAGTGTGAGGATATTTACATGCATACAAGTACACACGTACTCCTCATTCAAGGCCATGTGTAGCAACTTATTATCCAGGACACGCTGAAATTGGCAGCGTATTTGTATCAAACTATTTACGTAGTATTTACAATATACTCTGGCAGACATATATACATATACCCACGTGGTCTGGCCATCTAAACCAGACTGTATATGCTAAGGCATAATTGCTATGCACCAAGAACGCTCTTAAATACTTTTGTCCTTGCTTAGGGAATTCCTTAGATCATCTTCTCTAACAGAAACAAAAAAGTGCAAAGAGGGAGAGGAAAGAAAGGAAATGAGAGATGAAGAAAGTCAACCATTGCCCCGAACTTGTAACACTGGGGGGAAATGACCAAACTACAGAGTTTTGCAGAAACTCCTGGGGCTGGAATTAGAGACAGATGTCTTCCTGCGGGCATCCATGGGGAAGTGGGGTATGATTTGGCTTCTTTCTCTCAACTCCTCCAATCCCTGTGTAGACCAGGAATCCCTCCCAGATTCCTTCATCTCATCCTCCAAACTGGGAGAGGCTACTGCTCTTTCCCTAGTCGTGGGTGCCTCTTGCTTTTCAGTTCTTGGGGAAAGGAGAGAGGGTCTGTCCTCCAGTGCTGGCCTAGGACAACTTTCCCATCTCACCAGGGGCTCTACCCAGATTTCCCGCCTCTGTTTTCTCTGCTTGGAATAGCAGTTGTGCGGTGCTGGGAGTCAGTCTTGGAACAGAGAGTCTCAACCGGCTAAAGCAAAGGCTCTGAGTGTACTCTGTTTTCATTCAGCAAACCAAGATTACATACCAAGAACATAACTGCACATGTTACCAATGACTTATGAATGCAACATACGCTGTGGTCCCAGGAAGCATTCCCTGAATTAGTGATACGATTAGTACAATGCCTAAAATACATGCCTTCTCCGAAGGTGAGTGTCAGACTTAGACACCTCCCTCCCTGTAACCAGGACACAACTTACACCGTATACACACTCACTTATAGGAGGTATAGACTATACAACTGCCCATGAGATCGTTCACACCACAAAAAGCAAAGACAAGCATGCCGCAGTCTACTTTCTTTTCTGCTACTTACCTTAGTCAGCCAGACAAAATTGCAACAGGTTGCCAGAAACCCTGACACCAAGTCTGACCAGCCTCTTGGGCTTCTTGCCTGCCCCAGCTGGCTGGGTCATATTTGAGTGTGCTCTGGTCCTCCTGGTCCTGGCAGGCTCCAGTCCTGGTCTCAGCGTGATGCCTTTCAGAAGCCCCACAGCTTCATCCTCCACCTTCCAGCCTCCCCAGGATGCCCAAGGAAGATGCCGGCAGCCCCTCCCAGGTTACTGGTTGGCCTAGATCTGTGGCTACTGCTGTACAGGCTGAGTCGGGGGCAGAGAGCAACATGTGGCTGGGCGCCGGGTCCTGCTCAAGCTGAACCGCAGAGGGGGCGAGAGCAGGATAATACTTGTCATCCCACCAGAGAACTCACCGCTGACCACCTCTCATCCCCCTAGCAGCCTGAAATCCAGTCAGACGCCTGCCTGTGTGCCTGCACAGAAGTGCCAGTCTTAATTCGTTATTCGAAGAGTCTCAGTAAAGAAAAAGAGAGAGAAAAGATTAAATTTCTATAGCTACCTCTCTCTCATATCCCCATATTTCTTAAACATATGTCAAGGTAAATGAATTCTGACCATTAAAAATAAGGCAACCAGTCACTCATTACATTTGTACAGAGGTCTGCAGCTTACAGAGCATGACCACAACGAGGATTTTATCTATTTGGAATAAACTCTTCTGTTAGATATAACTGGAAAAATTGAATAACATAAAGACAATATAATACAAACATGACCCATACACCTAGCATGGCTGTGTAAGAGATAAAGTTCAAACTTGCATAGATGCAAAAATAGAACAAATCCTACCTATAGTGGGCCTTGTGAAAGAACCACGGCAGATAAAGTCTCTCCCATGACGTGAAACAGCCGCAGCAACAAGCCAGCGATGACACACAAAACAAACAATTCCGGGAAAACAAAGCAGCAGCAACAACCACAGAGGGCCCCCACTCTGGCCGTCCTCAACCCTCGTTTATCTGAGAAAGGATACATTTTTTTTTGAAAATCTCCGATTTAACTAGCTGCAGAACAAACTCAGGCGCGATGTAAATAATGCAAGTCCGTGTTAAAAGAAAGAACAAAAAATTTATTCGAGAATTGACAAGACAAAACAACAACAACAAACAAACAACAAAACAACAAAAGTGCTCTAGTTCTTTCTAGAAAAATTTGGTCCTCCGAACGACACACTACAAAACAACCAGGTCTAGAGTTGTGGGCCGGCAGGCTCGGAGCCACAAGCCCGCCTGGTCCGACTGCTGCCGGGTTTCACATTTCTCTTGCCCAAAGTGGGAGAAGCAAGACGTTTGGAAAACAAAAATCAGGGAGGGGATGAGTCGACCCTGCAGCTTCCGCCAGGCAGACAGTGATCTCCCCGCGCTCAAGGCTGGCATCGGAAGATAAGGGGAAATTTGTTTTCGACTTTTAAAAAAAGCATAGGTTGAGGGGTGAAATACTCTATAATTTGTAGAGGAAACCATCTGATACTGGGCATATACTCCTACCTCTCTGAACATAGCTTTTTGAAGGCCCGACAGGAATTCTTCAAATCTCCTGCAAAAGATTTTCATGTTTCGCTTTAGCAAACTCCAAGGCCACAATGTTTCGCCGGTTTTCCGGTGAATTTTTTTCTTTTAAAAATTATTTTTTGATATTATCTAAAATAGCCCTCGCGATCTTTTTAGCAAAACATGAGCTAGCCGCCCGGGCCTGAAGGGGCCCCAAGCGCCGGGATGGAGCGCGGAGGAAACGCAGTCTCTCTCCGAGCCGGGATGCTGTGTAAACCCGGGCACAGGCCGCCGAGCGAGGCAGACCCGGCTCCCTGATCCAGCCCAAGCCCCGTCCTGCCCAGTGGGCCCCAGGAAGGGGCTTCTGAATAGCTCCAAAAGGGTACGCGGAGCGAACACCCATTTGTCCCTTTCTCGGGCGGCGCGGGTCTTGTTGCCGGCCCATGCCGTCGCTTCTAGCCAAGGATGGCGCGGCAGCCCGGCGGAGAGAGCCGAGTGCGAGTGCACCGACCTGTGAGAAAAGGCCAGGAGGTCTGCGCTGCCGACGCCCGGCTGCACCTCGGCCCCGGACACTTCCTCTCCGCCGTGAACTTTGGCGACGGGTGTCCAGCCCCGACGCTGGGGCGCCCGGAGAAGACTAGGCCTGCGGAAAACGCGTGGAGAGGCGGCCTGCAGGCCAGAGGAACGAAAGGGCAAAGAGGGCAGGGAGGCGGACACAGGGGGAGAAGCGGAGACAAAGAGGAGCAAGAGGAGCTGAGGAGAGCTAGGAGGCGCAGAGGGGCGGTGGGCGCTGGCTCAGGGGGCCCCAGCGGGCGCGCGGTCTGGCCGGCTGCGGCGGCCAAGGCGGGCGTCGCGCGTCCCTGCATCCTCGCAGCCTTCGTGCGCTGGACTCTCAGAGGTCGAGGCGCGAGTGCAGCGCGCCGGTCTTGCTGTCGTGGTCCCAGTAAGAGCAATGCATCATGGCGAGCTCGGGCTGCCGGGCGCAGGCGAACTGCAGGCCGGGTGCGTTGGTGGGCGCGGGCGCCGGGGGCGCGGCGGTGGCCGGACTGGCTGGGCTGAGCTGGCCCGGGGGCGGCGCGGCGGCCCCGTGGTGCGGCGGGGCCGGCGGGGGTGCGGCGGCCGCGTGCAGATGGTGTGCGTGCGGGTGTGAGTGGGGGTGCGGCGGCGGCGGAGGCGCGGCGGGCGGGCCTCCCAGACCGTTGTACGAGTTCACTACGCCGGGAGGCAGCGCCATGCTTTGCACGCGCGAGTACGGCCCGTACGAGGCGGCCGGGCCCGCCAGCCCCTTGACCACCGCGGCCGCGCCGGGGCTGCCCGGCCCCGCGGCCGCCGCGGCCGCTGCAGCCGCCGCGGCGGCCGCCGCCATCTGGCAGGAGGCGTAGGGCATGGGCGAAGGCGGCTGCGGTAGCGGCCACGAGTTGTTGAGGAAGCCGGACTGCAGGTACTTGGGGGGCGCCAGGTAGCCGTAGCCGTCTGCCCCTGCGCCCGCCACGCCGCAGCCACCCGCAGCGCCTCCGGCCCCAAAGAGCCCCTTGCCCGGCTGGAAGTGCGCGGGCGGCGGCCGGAAGGGCCGCTTCATGCGGCGGCGGCGCCGGTAGTTGCCCTTCTCGAACATATCCTCGCAGGCCGGGTCCAGCGTCCAGTAGTTGCCCTTGCGCTCGCCGCCGCCCTCGCGCGGCACCTTGATGAAGCACTCGTTGAGGCTGAGGTTGTGGCGGATGCTATTCTGCCAGCCCTTCTTATTCTTCTCGTAGAACGGGAACTTGGCTATAATGTACTGGTAGATGCCGGACAGCGTGAGCCTCTTCTCGGCGCTCTCGCGGATCGCCATGGCGATGAGTGCCACATACGAGTATGGGGGCTTCTGCGCCGGGTCCGGCTTCTCCGGTGCTGTCCCCGCACCGCCGCCGCCGCCCTTGCCCGGGCTGGGCGGCGGCGGCGCCTCGGACTCCTTGGCTGCGCGGCCGGTCTCCGGGGCCAGCAGGGCCCCCGAGGCGTCCTCGGGCTCGGGGTAGCTGGCCATCATGACAAAGCCGGCGCGCCGCGGCCGGGCAATCCCTGCTCTTTTCCGCTGGCGCTGGCGCGGCAAAGAATCCGGGCGCACAAGTCCGTTCACGGCCGATTCTCAAACTTCTGCAGACTCGCGTATGCCGCCCGCGCTCTCGCTGGCGGCCTCTCGCTCCTCTCTCCTCTTCTTTCCCTGCCCCAAGAGAGCGGCCGGCGGGAGTGGAGCTTAGTCTCTGGCCATGGGGAGTCCGCCTAACAGAGAGGGGCTCCGGCTCCGCCGCCCCTCCCCGCCCAGGCCAGTCCCCGCCTCGGTGGGTTTTCTTTTCTGCGCTCTTCCCCTCCCCCCACCCTCCGGTTTCCCGAGACACGACCCGCGTCTCTGGCGGAGCTGCCTCCTGGAGTTTCCAGAGCGCCAGGAGCCTCGCTCTGTTCTGATTCGTATGGGCTCCACCGAGTTCCGCTTGCGTCAGGCGCCTTCGCCCCTATAGCGGGGCGGCCAGTCGCGCACGGGAGAGTTCATCTCCAAGTCACTTTTTTGTAAACGCCCCGCACAGCTCGGACCGGCCTGCCCCCTCCCAGCGAGTTTAGGGAGCCCGGCGGATAGCCGCGATCACGCTTTCACAAGCCCTTGAATCTGCCGGTGCTCGCTCTGCGGACTGGGCCGGGAGATGCCGAGGGCCTCGGCGAGGTCCGTCCGCCCTCGGCCCGCGCGCGCAAGGAACTCGGGCCCTAGCGCGGAGAGGCGCGCCAAGCCTCCTCGCAGCGTCCAGGTGAAAGAAAACGGCTCCTTTGCTCTGCCCTTTGCTGCTGGTTCGGGGCTAAACTTCTAGCTCGGGCCCGGGGGAGGGGCGGGACGGCCAGGGGGCCGGCCGGGGGTGGGGTGGAGAGGGCTGCGCGGTGGCTTTGGGAAAATCAGCCCAGAAACCCGTGTCACTGAACGAAGAAACCTTGGCCTGGCCTGTCCCTCGCGCTCTCAGAGTGCCTGGGCCGGGAAGGAGCCGAAGAGGATCGCTGGGAGGAGGCGCCCAGGGGCTCCGCCTGAAGCTCCCGCTCTTCCTCGCCCTGCTCCTGGCCCTATGATACCTGCTCAGTATCCGCGTCTTAATCCAACGGGTTGGACGTATGCTTTAAAACACCAAGTAGACCCCACTCTGCTTCTGCTCCGACACAGGCGCAAACGTTGTCGTGGGACTTTGGGGGACAATTTACGTCTGTGCTTCGTATCACAAATAGAAGTCATGGGGAAGGTCTGTCCTTGTGACACGTGAGATAGCTGTTTGGATGTGCGTGTGCAGAAACACAGGTATGCACAGATACAAGATGTGAAATTTATATTTATGGGGTAAAACACCTTTATACTTTATAGATGCATAATGACATTTGTATATAAATGTATCAGAGTAAATGTGACTCATGAATATTGCATCTTCTTTCTTTTTCCTCTTCTCTTTTCTCCTCCCCTCCTTTATTTCTTCACTCCTTCCCTCTCCCCCCTTTTCTTTTCTTTCTCAATTCTTCCTGCCCGCCCTCCTGCCAGTGTACATATTCTGTCACAGCCTAGGAAGAAAAACAACAGGCTGTGAGGGAGGCATTTGTTCAAATCTCTCTCCGGACAAGACCTTTGTTCTGATCTTTCTCAAGTGTTGGGCGGCTGAGTTCTCACCTACTTTTAGCAAAAGTCTGATTGGGACCCAATTGCATGAATGGAGGTTGTCTTGGGGGATATCAGTGCTGAAACAATACTCAAGTGTGCGTTTTAATGGTTAACTCGGCCCTAACAAAAAGTCTGCAGTCATAAAGTGTGAGAGAGATGGCCAGTGTTTTGAGTCCTCATGCCCCAAACTCCCTGTTGCTGGCGGAGCCAGGGTCCTTTGTGCAGGAAGGTGAACTGAATGGATGGCACGCAATTTTGTGTGTGCTAGTTGGCACGTCTGGATTGACTGGCCCAATGCCTGTTGCTACCTCTTCCTCCCAAGCTGCCCAATCTCTGGGGAAGAGCCATTGGTGGTCTCTGGGCCTTTTCCCCAGCATCCACAAGCCACCCTCTCGAGCTGCTTCGTGCCACTTAGGCTCCTGATCTGCATTCTGCAATTAAAAGAACAGAGGACAGGGTGTGATCGGGCTCTCTGGAATTCAGCACCTTGAAGACGACGCCAGGAAGGTCGGCAGGGCAGTGTGACCTGAGCACCACAGTAAGAGGAAGCAGGGGTCTCCTAAACTCACCTCACTAAATACCATTCTCCACCCGCCACTGAAAAGATCCCAGAGTGTCTTGTTTTCTTTCACTGCTTCTAACATACACGGGAGGCAAGTGGCTCTTCTTCAGAACTTTTGTTGTTGTTTCCTGAGCTGGAGTGAAGGTGTGTTTTTCTTCCTTACCCCCATTTGTGGCCAGGCTCTGGGTAGGAATGGTGTGAGTTGGGCTTAGGGCTGCTACAGATGGACCCCACTGCCCATCCTCCCTCAGGGCTTTGACAGAGACAAAAACAGCTGGGTCTGTCCCTACCTGGGGGTGGGTGCTCTGTCCTCTCTTTCTGACCACCCAGGCTGGTGTCCTCTTTCTGTCTCTCTCCCCCTTGCAGGCATTTCCGCTGCTGGCCTGCAGCAGCCAGGTGTGACAGCATTGTTGTGTGTGTCATCACTTCTCTGAATTCCAAACTCAGCTCCCTTTCAGCCTTTGAGGAGAGAGAGAGAGAGAGAGAGAGAGAGAGAGAGAGTGTGTGTGTGTGTGTAGGGGCTGGGGTTAAAGGAAGGAGAGAGAGAGAGAGAGAGAGAGAGAGAGAGAGAGAGAGAGAGAGAGAGTGAGTGTGTGTAGGGGCTGGGGTTAAAGGAAGGGGTTCCTCTAAAGGATTTTGTGAGTGGCAGGAAGAGGAGTCCTGCCTGCAGGTATTGATCTCTCCAGGAAGCCGCGGGGCACGCCTTCGTTCCCTTCCGACCCTCTTGGCCAGGCTGGGGAGGGCCCCGCTTCCGAGCGAGGTCGGGATCCCGCCGGCAGGGCGGACCTCGCCGAGGCTTGTGTGGGGCCCCAGGGCGTCGCGGCGACGCAGGGCTCCGGCTTGGTGACCCTGGGGCGGTGCCCACGTCCAGGGGCCGGGCGGAGCTCCCAACCTCTCCTGTCCTGTTTTCTCAGGGGCCCGCCGCTGCGCCTCCCGTCTTCCCGTCGGAGCAGTGCTGTCGGAGCGGTGAAGAGACCGCTGACCGAACAGGGCTGCGGGCCCCGCGCCCGTGCTGCGCGGTGGAGGCCCAGACAGCCGGCGCGAGCGGCGCCCTCGGCTCTCAAGGGGCGAGGCGTGCCTCTCCCCACGGCCAGGAATCCTGCCACAGTCGCGCGAGCGGCGCGGCGGCCCGAGGCGGCAGAGCTAATCTCGCGCCGCTCGGCGGGTCCCACGCCACAGCCAGCGGGGCTCTCCAACATCCTCCGCTCCCCACTACTGCGGGGCAAGAGGGAGCTCTCTGCATCGCCTCGCCGGCGGAAAAGGGAAGCATGAATATCCGTGTTGATTAACACATCCCCACAAGACTCTACGCTTCAGCAGCTGTTAGAGCCACCCAGGTCCCTCCCGCCCCGCGGACTCCAGGGCCCTCTACCCAGCTCACATTCCTCTATCCGTCTCTCTCAGTCAGCTCCTGTATCCTCCCTGCGCCCGCTCAGTTCTCCTTTTCCCCACTACTCTCTCACACTCACCTGTCACATATACTAGTTCGGATCCTGCACATTTTGGTGGAAAACCTGTCAATCCAATGCTGGCACTCTAAGCCTCTTCACGCACTCCCACACCCAGCTATCCCATGGCTGATCTCTTGGCTCCCTGTCTGCAAGTCTGACACTCCCAGAAGCCTGCTGATTCTCTGATGTCCTTGGCCTGTGTTTAATGTGACTGGGTTGCCACTTGGATGTTCCCATGGCAAGATCGCTGTTAAGAATTCTTTACAGAAGCTCAGGTACAGAACAGACCCCTGACACACTTTAACACACGCAGGCTCCTCACACAGGCTTCATCTCTGTCCTTAGCTGAGCTTACTGCGACAGGCGGTTCTCTCTTGTGCACACATTCACCCCGCACCAGGCTCCGGGCCAGGTATTATTCTGCCTGGTTAGGATTAGCAGAGACACTTATCCAAATAAGTGCTTGGGAGAGTGAGTGAGAAAGAGTAAGGATATGGAGAGAGAGAGAGAAAGAGAGAGAGAGAGGAAACCATTACCCATTCTGGGGAAGAACTTACAGAGAAGAGCTGAGAGTTGTTTTCAGTTGGTAAGTATCTTGCTGAATCGCCCCCACCTCCACCCACCTCCCCACCCTACCCTGTGGATAGCTGAGCTGGGAGGCAGCAGGCCAGAGTTCTGGGTCCCTCCTTACCTTACTGATGATGAGCCTCAAGTCCACCAGCCCCTCTTTGCTCCAAGGAGTGTATGCCCTCCCCTATACCAGGCAGACTGCAGAGCAGTTGTAGACCTTTTCCCTGTTGAGACTAGTTCAGGGTTGAAAAGGCAGAGGGGGCTGGTTCCTGGGCCATGTCAGGACCTCTCTCTTCCAAAGACCTTTGGAATGCTCCCCAGAGAGAGAAGTCTAGGGTGGAAGGAGCTGATGTGTTGTTTAAAGTTGCTTTTGGTGGTGGTGGTGGTTTAGCCACTGAGTTGTGTTCAACTCTTGCAACCCCATGGACTGTAGCCCACCAGGCTCCTCTGTTCATGGAATTCTCCAGGCAGGAATACTGGAGTGGGTTGCCATTTCCTTCTCCAGGGCATCTTCCTGACTCCAGGCATTTATCCCCATCTCCTGCATTGCAGGCAGATTCTTTACTGACTGAGCTACCAGGGAAACCCAAAGTTGCTTTTGTCCATGTCCAAACTGTAAACCTCGATGGACAGAAACTCTGTCCTCTACTTCTCACTCAGTGTTTCCCACCAGCATGTGTTTAATTCATTATAGTGATATTGGAACATGGCTGTGCTCCACAGAAAATTGAGAAATGCCATTTCCCTAGTTATGAGGCTGGAATTTCTAAGAAAGGGACTACAAGTGAAGAAGAGTGGCTGGACCACACAGGGCCAGCTCAGGATCTGAGCCACTGTTCTTCACCTGTAGTCCCTTTTTTAGAAATTCCAGCCTCATCAATACCTACTCCTAAAGGTAACGTGTATTCTGATTTCTACCATCACAAATTAACTTTGAGCTTCATAAATGGGGTACATGATATGTACTCTTTGGGTCTGGTTTCTTCTGTATAAAATATTTTTGCTGTTCACTCATCTTGTTGCATGTATCAGACATTCATTCTCTTTATTGCTGTGTAATATTCCACAATTTGCTTATCCATTAACCTATTGATGGTGTTGTTTCCAGTCTTGGGATATCATAAATAAAGCTGCTGTCAATGTTTTTTTACATGTCTTTTTGTGAAGGGCATTTTATAATCACTCTTGAATGGCTATGTAGGAAAGTGGGCATCTGTTTAGTTTTAGTAGAAATTGCCAGTTTTCCAAAGT